GATTCAAACCCACCACCTTAGGTGTATGTGGCTGGTGCCTTAGCCACTTGAACCATAGGCACCAAGCCAAAAACAGGGATTTTAAGCATGTCCCATAAGTCACTGTATGTGTGAGACCCTGAGTTACAGGGTTATCATTTATTATTTATTAAAATCCCAAGTCTGAGTCCCTTCTGCTGGGGGAACAATATTTGTAAGTAACCCTTACTTCGCTTTAATGCAATATTGTCCCTCTTTAAAAAAATGTCTGCTTTTTTTTTTCTCTTTGATGATTTAGAATTAGAAAATTAGGGTTAATAGTCTGACTTAAATTTTTGCAGGTATAATTCTTTTGTCTTTTCAGTACTCACAAATGTCAAAAGCCAAGTAAGGAAAGTGTACATTTTGTCAGCCCACACTGTGCTCTTCATGCTGTGAGTCCTCTGGGAGCATCAGTTCTCAAAACCTCTCCTCGAAATGTCAAATAGGGACAAGTTAAAGGAAACAACCTATTTTCCTCTAGGCTGATTTTTGCTTTAAAAAATGCTGAAGGAGTGCTTATAAAATTACAGCAACGTCTAGATTGCTGGACTTTATACCTCCCTTTCAAGAGTTCTTCTGGGGTGTCAGGGGGCTGATAAATAACACTCTTTTTCTTACCTGAGTTAGAAACAAATTTAAGCTGTAGGAGTCAGTCAGGTAGGGTTCAAAATGTCACTTGCATAACTGAAAAGGCTGTTAGAAAACTTGATCTGGGGTCTGTCTGACTCACCCAGACAAACAAGACCCTGGTGGGACTGAGCCACAGCCAGCCCCAAGGGGCTGCCACCAGCACAGCCTGGACAGCCAGCAGGCAGACCTTATCAGAGAAGGCCCCCAGGGCTGGAGGCCCAGACCACTCTCCGTCCCAGTGAGATGTAAGGGAAGCTGGAGTAGGGGGACAGGACACAGAAGGGATAAGCGAGGGCAGCAGTTCATACAGTGTTGGGCCTTCAGGCCAGAATAGCGGGCAGCTAGGCCTGCGGAAAGGTCAGCAGTCCCAAATGCACATTGCTAGATGCTGAGAGGAGACCTGAACATCAGACACTGCTCAGAAGCCAGGCTTTCTATGCAGTGGGAGCAGTGGTCACCACAGCAGACTCCACCAGAGCTGCTCAGTAATGACGGTGAAGACACATGGACAGTGGAACGGGAATCAGTAACTCTTCAGGTTGTTCCTACCTAGTGAGCAGTGAACGCTTAATACTTCCATTTCCCTATGTCCATGCTATACGCGAGGGACCTCTTTGTCCTGTCGTCTTTCATCCTGCCCTCAGTGTGTGTGTTTGCTCTAAGCAGGTTGGTTCGCCTCAGCACATCCCTGCTGCAACGGCTCCCTCTCTGCTCATGACCCCCATGGTGTTCACACAATCCACCTGCGCCCCAGCAAAGGAGCGGGAGGGCAGGCTCTTGCCTGCAGGAGGCCCAGAAGCACCTGCAGCCTCCAGCAGCCTCCTCCTGCCTGTGCAGAGCCCGCAGCCCTCTGTGGCCACCAGCACCCCGCTCACCAAACTTCAGCTCCAGGAAGCACTGCTGTACCTCATCCAGGTGAGAGGGACACGTCGTCTGCTTCCTGCCTTTCTAGGTTGGTTGCGGCTGTGAAATAAAGATTCAGTTCCCTGGTGCCTAGTTAGCACTCCCTGAGAATAAAGGGGGCATTAACTACTCACCCTAAAGCCTCATGGCTCCTGTGCTCAGCCAACTAGATGATACATAGAATACTGAGGGTAGCTTTGGGTGTCTCAGCTCTTCAAGGATTCTGTCATTTAGAGGATTGAGTAAGACCCTATCACCTGTCAGAAAAGAGGGAAACATCCACTGATGATTAAGCAGTCACTCAGAGGACTCTGGATGCTGCAGAAACCCCAAACAAGAGAACTTGCCAAGGGGCAATGGAGGTCAGAGCAGTCCTGGGCAAGCAGCCGTCGGCTGAGTGGAGAGTTCTGGTAGACTGTCAAACATAAGCATGTAGGTAAGGGAGCAAGTGATGACTGTAGCCACTAATGGCATATTTTAATAAAAACTTGAAACCTCATTATCAGGATTCCTGGTAATAGGACTCCTTATCAGCCACTTGTCTCACCTGTCTGTGAAATGATGAGACGATAATAGTGTTTTGAGCGCTGCACATGTATCAACTCGTTCAGTCCCTGTACACAGCCCTGTTATTTTTCCTTTTCTACAGACGAGGAAACTGAGGCTGAGCAGCTGTCCTGAGGTCACATAGTTGGTAAATAAGCAGAGTTCTCCGTGCGTCTTGCTCTGCCGATGCTCTAGACATCATCTTTAGGTGCACACTAGCAGTCACTCAGCAGACTGTCGTCTTCACGGGTCATTGAGACTCATTCTCATGCATAGGGACTTGGTGGCTACTTTACAGGGAAAGGGGGAAGATAGTATCACTCTCTTTGTTGCATGAAAATAATGCTAACTCTGTGTGGGGTACCAAGAAGGAGCCAAGGGGGAATGTGAAATGTGGGTGAATTACTGACACTTTACAGAATTTGAGTGGGAAAGAAGTTATCTAGAATTAAAAATCAAGAAAACCAGGCCATCGGGTGGTGGCTCACACCTGTAATCCCACGGTTCTGGGAAGCCAAGGTGAGAGGATCCCTTTAGCTCAGGTGTTTGAGACCGGCCTGAGCAAGAGGAAGACCCTGTCTCTACAAAAATAGAAAAATTAGCCGGGCATGGTGGCAGGCGGGAATAATCCCAGCTATTCAAGAGGCTGAGGCAGGATTGCTTGAGCAGTAAGCTATGATGACACCACTGCACTCTAGCTGAGGTGACAGAGTGAGAGACTGTCTCAAAAAAAGAAAAAGAAAAGAAAACCACGTGTTGGACTATGACTCTCTCTCACTCTCAGCTAGGCAAAAGGCCTCAGAGACGACCAACCTAACTCCAGCCCACTTGCTAAGACCAGAAACTTTCTGTAACTCATGGGAAGGATTATACTGTCTTTAATGAGATACTGATGAAGCATGTTGCAAGTAAAATTCTAAATTAATGCCAAAAACAGAGTAGACACATTGTGGATGAATTGGAGGGCGGGCTTGTGAGAGCTACCACAGTCTCTCAACCAAACTTTGAGAGCACTGACCTGGATCATTTCCTCCCAGTTCATCCATCTGCTGGAGTCCTGTGTCTTTTCATGTGGCAGACCCAGGCCTTTCTCAAGTAAACCTTGTTCCATGCTGCCACGTGGCAGGGTGGCCCATCTGTGCTGCATGTAACAAGCACTTACTATTCACATACAGACCGCTGAAAACCAGCAGCTCTGTCTGGCCTTGCCTCCAATCCCACTTAACATTCACAGTGCAATCAAAAACGACCAGCTGGTAATCAAACAGTAGAGATGACCATTCTAGTGTTCAAATGCCAGCTCAGCTTAAGACAGAGGAGCCCTTTGTTTCTGCCAGTCAAATTACATTCCCTTGGGTCTTTCAATTTTGTTTTCCAGAATGACGACAACTTCTTAAATATAATCTACGAAGCCTATCTCTTCAGCATGACACAAGCAGCCATGAAAAAGACTATGTGAAAACCAATCCTTTTACAACTGATTTTCAAGTTCCTTTTAGAACTCCAGCACAAGGTTCCTTCTTTGTCAAGTGGTGTTACCCTTAATGTTTCCACATTTTTAAAAAAGTATGTGTAATATGAAGTAAAATGTTTCAGACTTTTTATATAGTCAAGTGGTTTTCCTTTTTGTTGTTGTTTAAAATCGCATCCTTTAGTACACACGGTACTAAGAATTGAATGGTAGAAATGTCCTTTGCTCAGGTCACACAAGCTTAATTAATTAATTGTTTTGCATGTATGGGACCATTTTTAGAAGAATGAGCTTCTCGGTAAGAAGGGCTTTTCTTGGAGCTTAGTTTAACTTATTGATGCATAGAGCTGGTTAGTCTTTGAACACAGTGTGAAATTTCTCTTGCAGAACTCTGTGTGCACAGTGCATGCTGACCACCAGGTGGCAGTGTCGTCCCTGTTAATGAGCCTGTTGGTATAATGATGGTCTTTTAACCAAAGTAAACCCTTCATTTGCAAAAATCCAGTTGGCACGTTTCACCCAGTCCTTTGAAAGGAAATTATTTCTAAAGGTATTTATAGCTAGTTTCTAGAGGATGGTTGTTCTTAGAGTCGACAAATGGCCCAGATTTCCAGCAACACTTCATCTTTCCCAGCTCATGGTATTTCTTTTGGACGCAAGCTGCAGGACGTGCCTGCCTGTGCTTCCAGATGAACGTGAGGTCGTATTCAGCGGAACGTTCAGGGGGAAGGTCACAGAAGATTGTAAAGGCTGTTCTCAGCCTGTACCAATAGGTAGTGGATGTTCAGGAACATAGTGATAAGGATTCTTCAAGCTATGTAGCAGATTGATAATTATGTTCCCAGAGATGAGGAGTTTAATCTTGGAAGGACTCAGAAGAGCCCTTGCCAAGTTGTTAAGGCCCAAAAGAGTATGTATGGGAATTAATCCCTGCTGAGTCTCAGTAATAAATAAAGCTTTGCAATTCTATAGCCCTTTTTATTCTTGGATCATAAAAAGATCTTTAGATAACTGCATAGCAGACAGGTTTTATTCTCATTTTATAGTTCATAAAATGGAGACATGAAGAAAATAGGTTTCCTTACAGTTTCTGATGCCTAAACTTGGACTTTAAGATTCAGAGCTTTGTTCAAGCCTCGCTATCAAGCAAAAAGTTTAGAACACCATGTCCCTCACCCTCCTGCTTTCCTCCTCTCTGGCAGGAGGGTAGTTTGTCTTCTAAGGGGAAAAGGTAGGCAGAAAAGGAATTTACTTTTTTTGACCCCTTGTTGTGTGCCGTACTTTTGCTGAGGAGTCTATTACGTTTTCCTCTGACAGTTAGGTAGAAATGAGTTCTTTTGTTTCTCTGATATCTCCTACAACATTTAGCCCAGTGATAAACCCATGTGAAGTTTTCACAATACTTGAAAGTAATAGTTCAGCTGTTGCATCTCGGTGTTCTTATAAGGCGGTGGTTCTCAACCTTCCTAATGCCGCAACCCTTTAATACAGTTTCTGTGGGTCATGACCCACAGGTTGAGAACCGCTCTTAGAAGGCGAGAGGAGCAAGAAGAGAAACACATGAGTCCTGTCTCCCAAAATCAGAGGCAACAGTGCTTGTTTCAGCAACACCTGTACAAAAAGTGGAACAAAATCAGTGATATACCTAACTGCCAGCCAGCCTTTTACAAAATCTCCTTAATCTTAATTACATGTTTAGAGTTGCTTCTCTAGCTAGGGAGAGATGAATTCCATTTTAAAAGTTCCTAACACATTGACAGTAGTGAATGGCTAATTTCATGAAATACTTCATCTTTTACTTCAGAGTTGAATAAATAAAACAGAAAGAGATATCATTTGCAGCACCGAATGTGAAAAGGTGCCCTGTGCTGCTGTTGTAACAGAGAGCCCGGCATGGTCAGACCTACCCTGCAGGCTTCAGTCGGGCTTTTTAGGTCAACGCCACAGTGATCTGTTTTGAAAAATAATAAATTCTCCAGCCTTTACTGGAATAAATCACTTTAAAAGTGACAGGCCCAATTCATTTAGACCAAAGACTAAGTCACTCTTTTAAAGGGCACTTGGTGATGGAGTGCTTATTTCTTCTATGTAGCAAAGCAGATGAGAGCTTCTTTGTACAAAGAGCTTTCTCCAGAGAACCCAAGAAATAGATCAAAAGGGTTATCTAAGGCACCCATAGATTTCATAAATAAATTAACTTTTCTTCTTCCCATTCTCACCCTGAATTCTGAGACCATCACGGATGGTACTCCTAAGGTGTCACTGGCTCCCAGGCAGCAATTTTAACCTAATTGAATTTCAGGTAGGGCTTTGCGATATTTGTTCAGAGAGACAGCATTTTCCAATGCAGTGGGTCCTGACCTTGTAGAAGTTACAGAGGGCAGAGCTGCCTGGAGTAGAAGCCAGAGCACATAGCCTTTGAGCCAGACAAATCTGCCTGTAAGACAAGTGAATCTCTCTTGAGATGCTGTTTTCTCACTTATAAAACAAAAGACCCTCACAAGGTCCTTATGAGGATGAAATAGGGGCAACAACCATCAAACAGCTCCTCCGTGCCACGTGCTCTAACACAGTGAGTCCCTTCCCGCCCCTCTACAGTGTGTGGTGTCCAGGACTCCAGCTGTTGAGGGAGGACCCCACAGCTGCTGGTGCCAGAGTGCTGAGTCTGACGTTGGCACTTAGTATCCGTGCTCGCTTTTGTACACCCTCTTCTCCCTTTCACTTCTTTATTAATGAAATGAAAACAGTAACACCCCTTCCTAGCACAGCAAGTGCCACAAGCACTTTAGACAGATGTCAGTGTAACCAATAGTATTATTATGTACTAACAGTATTATTGTTATTCCCCTGCCTGTATGGGTAAAGTGCTGTTTTAACTGAAAGCTGGAGTAGGCAGTGCTATCTGATAGAATTTGTACTTCGGCACCTTCCTCTGTAAAGAAATGCGCTGCTCCGTCTCCCCCTTCAGAAGGTCAGGCATGATACTAATAGCAGAGTAAAAGCTTTTGTTAGCAACTTCAAGAATCGGGTGGTAGGGGTGCCCATCCTTATTGGTATGTAGCCACCTACAGCTGGCTTCTTACCTTTCAGAAGGTAGGCTCGGGGCAAAAACTCCCCAGCTAAAGGGCCTCCCATGAATGCGTAAATGGTTCACATCTGGTAAGTCCACTCTCCCCTCAAACACTGTTGGCCTCCCTGCTCTTTTCCTATCCCATGATCGGCAGGACTCTGCTCGCTTCCTCTGGAATGAGAATGGTGACACATCAGAGCAGAAGATGCCTGCTCTCCTAAAGAAATCCCAACTGTTAAGTAATATTAGCCCTCTTCAGTTTTCTTGGGTGTAAAGAGAAAACCAACAGCTCACACGTGAATGTCTATTTCCCTGGGGTGCGTGCTACTCAGGCTTCGCTGTGTTCAGCCGTATGTCAGTATAGATGCAGGCGAGGCAAGCAGCTTGGAACTGAGCTGGAAAGACAGTTCTTTCTTTGTAGGGGTGGGGGTGTTGCGTACAGTTTTAGGAGTGGCGTCTCCAGGCTATGTAGACAAACTGGCTGCGTTGTTCTAACTGCTCTATTCAGACTCCTTCTCTCTGTTCAAAGGAATCAGCTTGCCTCCCAGGCTTTGGAACATAGAATTGTCTTTAAGGTTACATTTATCATTTGCAGCCAGCAGGTTGTGGCCAGACTTTGCTGTGTAAAGTCGCCTGGCAGCATATACTGGTGAGCCACCCCAACATTTTGCTGAATACTTGATTTTCAGATTCCGATGCTCTGCACCCCACTCCCTCTGCAATTAGGGGCGTGAGAGAGGCGGTTACAAACACTTGGTATATTTAACTCAACCTTGGATATCTAGATAGATTTCCACTAAATTGAGTCATGAGTAATGCCTTCCAACAGCCTTAGAGCCTTGAGAAAAGTACACAAATAAAAACTGCGTGTGTAGACTGTGGTCTTAAAACGTCAGGGGGAGGAGGAGAGCAGGGCGCTTTTGGTAACTGACTCCCCTGCTGGGCTGTGCAGACGGGCGCCGTGGCCCTGAGCCAGTGAGCACGGCCCAAGCTGTGCAGCCCATGTTTCCGAAGGAGGGAGAAGTAAGAGAGCCAAGTTTTGGACAAAGTAACTAAGGGCACAGCAGGAAGGAAGTAAAATAGGTTCTAAATAGGCAAGAGAAAGTGGGGGAGACCTTGTAGTGGTGAGTCAAAGTCTAAGAATTTCCCTAAAAGTTTGAGGATCCATTCGAAAGGGACTAAGTATCTAGGGAAAAGCCAAAGTGTGACAACCCGCTGAGGTTGGCAGACGCTGACACAGACAGCAGAGAGTGGGTGGGAGTTCCCAGCTTTGGAGGTGCTCAGCAGCAAGCTGTTGGGAAGACTGGACATCTTCGTGGTCCATGAGGGAAGCTACAAGGCCCACCTGGGTGTACAGGTGTGCACAGGGTTCTGTGAGGGCTCCACTCCTTCCTTCCCCTTGGACAGGCAGTGCCATAAATGGCTCTTCTCAGTACATCTAGTAAGGCCTCCAAAGACCAAGGTGGCAGACCCAAGATCCAGGCTGCCAGGAGCCCTTCATCCCACATGATACAATGCCAGGAACATTGCACTGGGAATGGGTGGGATTCAAATTCCACCACCTCCTGTCTCTCCAACCAAGTGAGCATCAGGGCAGTTATTTTCTGTAGTGTTTATTGTGGGAACATAGAAATGATCCCTTTGGGCCGGGCCACCCATGCTTCTCAGCAGGTTTTCCATTGGGCAGCAGTCCTGTGGGACGTGGCACAGGAGAGCGGGCTCCCCCGCCCAGCAGACTCAAAGGTCAGGTGTCTTCTTTATCACCTTTTATGGCTCAGTCATGAATCTGTCCAGAATTATTTTTGATGTTTTTATATTTTCTGCCCATAGCACTTCTGCGGGGTTATGAGTTCCTTAAGTTTTATTCCCTGCTGTGTGACCATGGGCTCCCCAGCATGTCCAGGGATTGAGGTCCTGTGGCTTGAGAGAGTATCCACACATAATGGGCCCTGAAAGGATGAGGGTCTCTGTTCAGCAGTGGAACCCCAGACAACGTGTGAATGTCCGTGACCCACCAGATGCCTGTGGCTTAGCCAGGTCACGGGGGGTGATGTCAGCAGAG